TTTGAATTAACATTTCGAAAGCTCTGGTATTTCAGATAGTTGTTGATAGCTACAGAAAAGTGATGAGGACATAGTTGAGCACTTAGTTACAAAGAGCTGTTCAGTATTCTTGCTCAACGTTCCACAAATAATTCTAAAAAGTTCTGGAAGACTTCGGTATCAACGTAGTAAAAGTGAAACTGGAATTAGATTGGACTAGAAGATGAGAATGATATTCTTTATTCCTATTATACATGCAGTGGATCTATCATCTGGACGTTGGAAAGTAGTCATTTAAGCTTTGTAACTAAGGAAAATTCTTCCCAGAAATAGCATCTTCAGTAGGTGCTGCTATCACACCCATATCCTGTTTTGGAACCGACGTTCTCGAAAAGACTCGCTCAGTGGAGACTAGGTTTGTTCGTGGAATTCTGCCAGAGTTGATGTGTGACTTATTCTTTGGAGGGCGTCCCAAAGAGCCTTCCATGTGTTTCCCGACGAATCGGTTGCCAGCGTTAGACGAAGTCAGCGTAAAGGATACAATTTTCGTACACGATCTTAGCGTCTAGCTCGTTTTTAACTAATGTCCTGAACGATGCTCTTCTTGTTGCTCAAGCGGGCAGAACCCATGGTGTAATTCTGACACAAACAAATAGAAACATTCCTACTTATTCCTACTTAATTCACTTTATGATCAGCGGTAGGAAAGACGAAGCCTGTTTTCAACATCGATCGCGACAACGAACTAAGGACGAACGATGTGAAAAACATTGCAGAAAAACAATTGAAGTCACCGCTTAAAAATTCTAATATGAACTTCACTTTGAAATCTTCTTAAGAGAAAGAAACAGGAAAGATATGCCTTATAAAGCGTTGTAATCTAGACTAGGAGATCGATGAAGACAACTATTTAACTCTTTTTACAAGGTATGTATATATATATATATATATATATATATATATATATATATATATATACACATACACATAACACATACACATACACACACATATACATTAAATTTCTGCCGTATTCGCCTACTTAAGCAACCATAAACTATGAAATGCGATGACGCTGAAAAACATACACGATGAGCAGCAAAATGAACAAGACTTGAAAAGGAACCATGTTTAATACCAATCTGAAGAAGTCGAAGTTCTTGTGACATGCATAAAGCATGTTCACCGAGATGAACTGCTTTTCGAGGGAAGGTTATTTTAAGCTCATACACGAAGTGTGCTATAGAGAAACCACTAGCAAAAAGATAAAGAGCAGGATGGGCGCTAGATTGGCTCTATTTGAACAACTGTAGAACAATGGATCAGCTACGGAAGATGTAAATTCACCTTTTCTATTATAGAATGTTGCGTTTAATCTGCCATGCTGAAGAAACATTAGTTGAATAGTAGCCAAAAATATCCTTTGAAACCTCACTAATGTTTCGCGCTTTAACTGAAGGACTCCTTTTTGTGAGCCTCACATAAGCCACTGTCGAAGTCCGATAAAAATTCTCCCTAACTAGTAACTCTTGGTATTGTACCGAAGGAAAGTTATCGAGCGGTGAACGTGAAGAGTTATTAAGAGAATTTCCAAGAGTGTAAAACAGCACTTCGCACGGACCGCTATCGGTACGGGAGGTTCGAGAACAAATAATTGAGGCAAATAGGAAAACATTAATTACAGCACTTGTAAGTAGTTCCCAAGTATACGTTATCGGGGAACAACTACCAGAGGGCTCATGATAACCGATAACGGATGACACCGAAAATTCCCTTCACATCAGCAGTACACACTGGAAAAGTGCTCCAGTGCTCACAGCAATAAAAGTGAAGAGGTCTCAAGAATATGATGTCCGCTGAAATTTCATTCTTTGTGCAGAACACATGATATTAAACAACTTTTCTTTTTTTCATCCATCATATGAGAATAAAACAACCATAAGGATTCTCCTCTTCAGAACATCCATTTCATGATGCGTTCAAAACAGAAATTTTATGGTCCTTTACTTCTTTTCTGCTCGTATTCCATGATTACCAAGTCGAAGATAAAAACGTGGGAACACGACGATGTACGACTACTCATGATGAGACTTTTAGATTCCTTGAGTTCTGAACAAGTGGATATCAAAGAATTAGAGAACAAAAATGCTCCAAAAGAAACAATAGTCACAATCTTAACTCTTTTATTTACTGCCTTTTTCTTCTTAATGGCAGGGTATGTTGTGAAATATAACTCGTATGAAGTGCTGAGATATTTGCAAAACTCCGCACCACAGGTGTATGCAGCGGGAAGAAACAATAGTGCAACAAATTTGGAATCAGATCCTAGAATCTCACATAGGATCCCTATTCCTTGACATGGAAACGGTGATTGTGTGGAAGGCTGGTGGTTGAAGAGAACGTACCGGTCACAGGCGACAAGAGAGTGCTTTGTAAACAGGACATAAAAATAGACACACTACCTCAGAGAAACTAGCTTTCATTGCCAAAGACTTTTCTGAGCTTTTCTCGCTTACCAGGTACATCATCTATCAGTCTAACCCCAAAGAAGGACCATTGTTGGCGTTTCAGTGAGAAGACATTGCAATTTCTGTAGCTCAAAGTCGTTTAACCACAGTAAAAATGCTACCTACATAGAGTAATTCAGCAATAGATTTTTTTTCCATTTCAGGCTGTTCTTATATTCCAAGTGAGTGGAACAACAACTCCAGCAAAGATTTTTGTTTATCTAGTTAATCTACCAACTGTTCTACGTTACGTTGTATACATTGAAAAATATTTTCTTGTTCAAATTTGGCTCATTCGAACAAGCTCGAGCCAATGCGGCGCCAAGTAATGTAGCATGTATTCAGAGAGGATGTAGCGGAATGCAAGCAGAACAATAGCTACGACATAAAGACTCTTCCTGAGATGCGGGTGAGGGTAGGAATGTGCATTAAGTGCTTCTTATGCCAGATTGGCTCCTATTAAATTTTCCTTCTGTCTAAATGTATTCGCTCACACGTCAGTGGATGCACTTGCATGTAGAATGGGTAGCAAGTATCTTATCTATGCAAGTATTTTATTTATTTCTTCTACCAGAATGTTGTAATCGAGTCACCGGAATAAACTAATTGGTACGAATTTCGTGCTTACCTCCAGCACACTAGTTCTAAGCTTAATCAGAAAGACAGAGATCACAACTTGAGGGTGTCATGACAGAGGTTGGTTCGCCTGCTGTCAAAGAAAAAAATGACAGCAAAGCGCCTCATATAAAATGTGTGATCCACTTCGTGTAATCCAATCGAATGAAGCCCACCGAGAGCTCTTAAATGAGATAGAGACGACGAGAAATACTAAAACTTCAAATAATAATGGGAACCGCCCAAGTCAGTCTATAACTTCTTGTGTTACTGTTCTTGTAAAACTTAGTGTAAAAATAGACTAATCAACACAATTTTTGCACTAAGCGAATATTTCAATCAACAGGTAATCGAAAAGCTACCAAGTTTATTTGAAAGAAAAGCATGACAAGGATACTTTGCTGGAAGGAGAGACAAGATCAGTCACCAACCGGATGTGAAGAACTTCAGAAAAAAAGACAAGAAAAAATCGGCTTTACTTTTCATAAGCTCGCTTGCAGAAGTGACGAAGCCGTTTGTATAGAGTACTAATATTTACTGGAAAGCGTTTAGAAACAAGAACTCGAGCAAGTGGTGGTACTGACATTAGTGAGCACCCTGTCAGATAGTTTGTGCTGGTCGGTGTCACGGAAAACATAAATGCGACCGATAATGGCTTTATTAAGTGATGGAAACCGATGAGCAGCAGGGGGTAATAAGAATGAATGAAATCTGTTCAGTGGTGAAGCAAGAAAAGAAATCCTTTAGAAAATCCGAAGAACAGCGAGAGTTGACTATAGTGTATCTGTGACGTTACGCCAACACTGCGGTCATGGTCACATTTGATCGCAGGTCGATGATAATTACATACGTACAGGAAAAGTATGTAAAACACACTCGCGGTTCAAAAGAATCTACCGTAATTTCCTACGTACCACGGACATACTCCTTGTTGGAATTTCTACTTGCCGTTGGAAATTCTGTAACAAATAACCTGGCGGATTATCAAAAAGAGTAGAACGGATCATAACTTATTGGTAGCACAGTTTGAGTGGAGAGTTAAACAACTGCTTCGATTCGATATAGCCTCTGACTAAGCAGGGGGTGATACGGCCGTGCAGGCGTTTGTTGCTGGGAGTCATCGGTCGTTTTGTCACAACAGTGGTCATCCGAATGATGCCAGATGGATGGGTGAATCGGGATGGCGAATCCAGAAGCAGTAGCACTTCATAAACTATTTCAGACAAAGCTGCGACGGCTAGCGGTTCGTGCACTAAAAATCTCGGAAGTGGGGGACGCTTCATTCAGTTTTCGGGATTGATGATGAATTGTTGTCAAGACTTTCTTGTCATGCTGTCTTCTGAATTCCTCCTCGCTAGTTCTTAGTGATATGACTAAGCGCTTTTTTCACCACAAAGATGTTTTTTATTCCCACCTATCTGACTCATGTTTATTACTGGTCGTCATAATGGATACAGAATTTCAGCATCACGAACATCGAGTAATACGCTCGATTGGCTTTCCCATAACCTTTTTCCATGTGTAGTCTATGCTGCAGCATTACTGTAGGCTGTAAGTGTGGGTGCTGTGATTTATTCCATAATTTCACGCTTAAATGAACAAAACATCGTTATCGTGTTCCACATACATTTTCTAGAAAACAACCACCATATCCGTGACAAAAACTAAGCGGATCTGCTTGCTCGACGGGGGGGGGCATAGTGTAGTCACAAAGCCGTGTTTCCCATTTACCAAGCCAAATTGATCCCAGTGATGAGTTGTTCACTTGTGGATGACTGATTCAATTGCCGAAAACCTAGATCCAGGCAAAAAATCGTAATGAAAAAACTAAATGTGATACATGTGGCAAACATTATACGGAAACAAAATATGATGCGAATGCTCTGCAATGCATGACGATCATTCTTGTCGCCTCTTCATCAATGGAAAGAAGTGCTTCTCAGCTGCTCCACGAATTTGGGTATAGAAGCAACGTTTCATGCTCTCGAACCTATACGATGTATACGATTAAATGACTAGGGCAAGATGGAATCATTGTGCCATAGAAATGTGTTTTGATTATGAAAACGTGAAAGGATTACGCGAATTTTAAAGAGAAACTTCATTGTTACCGATCATAGCATGGAGCATAACTGTAGTCGATCGGTGTGTAGAGGTCTGGCCTTTGGTCGCAGAAAGTCAGGCATTTCTCTCCAGCTGTTGTGCCGCTTACTCCATTCTCAATACAGCACTAAAACGACATTGGCAAAAAGCATAATGAAAGACTTTCTTGTAGCTTATAATATTTTAGTGGACGCATTCAATGACTTTTCGAAGTGAACGGATCTAGCCGTGTCACTCTCTGTTCTTAAAAGCATCTGCACAGAAGCTCTAATGTTTCTACTCCATGTAAATGAAATGCTTAATACAATAGAAAATTAAGCAGTCCTCAACTCCTCACCTTGCTGTGATCCATGCCTTGTGCAGCACAGAACTGCATTTCTGGCAAGAAATCTATGTGACACTCGTCAGTGCCCACAAACATCGACTCGAGCTGAAATGATTAATCTGGTTTTCATAGTAATGTAAACCAAATAATAGATTTAGTGAAGAGACTGAATAACTTGGGCATTGAACCAGTCTGAGTTGCAAAGTAATTGACCTATCATTCACAGAAATTCGTTCCAATAGAATCCAGTTACTATACATGCGACTGTTCTGCTTATAAATAATGCACCGTCAAAGAAAGAGAAGCCTTTCTCTTCAGTAGTCGTGACGTAGTTCCATGTCACATTTCAGGGAATACTCACCACTTCCTTTTCATACGTATTGAAATGGCATCGTTGAATGCACGCAGCCGGCAGACGACGTTCCTCGCAACAGCTATGGAATAGGAAGTTCGGATTCTGAGAGAAAATAATTCCTGGCTTAAGTCGCAAGTCGTTTGGCAGAGTAAGAATCCACGTTACCGTGTAACGAGCAATGTTTTCGGTGTTGATAACGAGGTCTGTTTTGTTCCAGAGCTTAAGACCGAAAATATTTCCATCATCGCGGTCATCTTCATCCACTACGTCACCATTCTGAAGGCAGAAGCTAGAATTACATTCGTCTGACAGCTATTCGGAATGGATTATTGCTCTCGAAAGTTCGAACTGTGATGTGCAATGAGGTTTATTATCCCAACAAGGTCACTCAAACCGAGAACAAGTTCGACATTTACACTCAAATTTGCGTACAATTACTACTCCACGAATTACTCCTGGTTACCCTTTAGCTAAAACCAAAAAAAAACGAAATAGGCAGCATCAAGTTGTAATGTTTTTGATGTCCCTTGAGTGACAGAAACCCACTGGACGGTTTGTGTCCACTACAGAGGGTGAAGCACTATGCTTAGTGAAATTACGAATGATACGAGTGAAAAATGAAATCTATGCGTGGCAATGGTGTAGCAAGATGAACAGGAATTTCTTAGCCTAACACTTCGACTGAAACCTTCCTTATTCCGCACGTCTTCCCAATCACCGCATTAGAAAGAGTTCATCAACCTTCCACTCACCTTCTTGAACTCCACTCAAGCGACGCCTGTGTTTTCATTTAAACAGTTTTCTTCATACTGTGAAATCTTACGTAGATCTTCTGTAAAACTCACAACATGGTTCGTATTGGCAGCGCGTGCTTTCGCTTTGGCTCTACAGCCACAACAACCGCATGCTCCGTTCGATCTGCACTGAAACGAACACCGTCAGTGTATTCGTAATGCAAACAATCGCAACATTCAATAGTTTAGCAAGTGATAAACTAAGAGTAGAAGCTTATTCTTTTGTACCTTGCACTGAAACTACTGTAAACTAAGAACTATAACACTAAGAACTTACACCAGTCACAACGGTGACGATGACAAGAACGACAATCAGCTTCATGAACATGACGACGGAGATCGCGGAGCAATTTCTCGTGCTTATATCGCGACGATAACGGATGCAACTCAAGAGGTTGTGGCAGTTGTTGGACAAGTTAGCGCTTCTTGAAGTAATTACTGTCGTATTTGGGACACTTCGTACTTGAGTTGCTCAAGAGGATCCGCAAATTGGGCTATATATTCCATGAGTTAGCCCAGATCATCTTCACCCAATGTTCATCTTCGTGGTGTTGTTACTCTCCGTAGCAAATCCTATAAGAGCGGTGAGTTTCAGTAGCAGGCTTTACAATACTATTCGCAACGAAGCTGACACTTTCTAAGCGATAGTCAGTTAAGGGTGTCCACGTTTTGCGAAGTAGACGATCACTTACTTACTGAGAACTTACTGTCTTACATCTAAATCAACAGTTAATAGCAAAGCTCAATACAGTGGCTATCGAATGAAGCAATGTTGTACCTTAAAAAACTCCTTAAGCCCTCTTAAAAACTACATGGCGAACACCACGGATGGCACATTAGTTGTATAGAATATATTTGGTTTTTGTGTGATGTATGTCACGTATTTGCTTTCCTTCACATAACACCACGCCTTGAAAAATTGTGGTAGGCTGTAAATGAATAGTTAATATTGCGATTCCGAACACACTTTAATAGGGTTCAATACCTATTTTGCTCCCTAGATCAACAGCGCGTTGGTCCGCCATTGTAGACACCTGCGGTCAGGAGTTTTGAAAGTATCTCAGCATCCTTATATTTTACACAAAACTCTACCTTGAAAAATTGTAATAGGCAATAAATAAGAACTTAAGATTAGTTGTTTTTAGTGTTTTTAGTCACTCTGTATAAACAGGTTTAGAAACCTTGAAGAAGTTCAGAAAGTTAATGAATCGAAATCTTTTAAAAATATGTGAACGAATTTTAATTAATGCTCGTTTAATGTTCAGTGTGGGGGCGGCGCAGGATGCTGTCCACGACCTCCACCACCGCCAGTTGTGACATGCGGAAGCGGTTGCCAACAGGGATACCAATGTGGAACTTACGGATGCTCCAAGAGGAAAGCGTTCTCGGCTCTCACCGCAAGAATTGTGTGTCTAAAACTGCCCTATGCAAGAAACCATGAAATGAAAAGAATAAGGCATTGGAAATAAATGAAGATGTAAATCAGTATGTATTTTTAGGATGGCGTGCTAGTGGGTGATGAGTACGCCGAAGAAGCCTATACTCTACCTCTCGCTCACAATACGAGCAATGTCGCTGTGAATATCAGCCATGACAATTTGATTGTAAGCGAACACCTGTGACTGGCTACCAATATCAAGTTGAAATACGTGATCTTTCAGAATCCAAACAACATTTTCCACATGTGTTGCGAAGCAAGAGGACTTCCTGACGCTTGTCTTCGACATTGTCACTTCAATCGTTACACTGCAACTTCAGTAAGATCCTTTTGATACGCTTTAGCGAATTGCGATTTCGAAAAAGCTATTGCAACATATATTCTTCCTATCCTTCCTGAAAGACTTCCTATCTAATTGATTTACTAATCATTAATATTACACCAAAGTCAGCGAACATGTTAAGCTCGAGCGAATGTTCCATAAAAACGACCCGTGTCCGGTCGAGGCGGCTCACGAGATCCACTACTGCGCGGCCCAAGGAATGGATCACACTAAGGTACTCGTCGTCCGTCGTAGATTTTCAAACATTACTTTAGTGCTCATTGCTAAAAATATAATGAAGCGGATACTTCTTTTCGACATCAACAGAAATGAGAGAGCCCCTCGATAAAAATAAAGAATAGAGCTATTGGCATTGACGTATCCTTAAGGGATGCGCCATGCATTCGACTTTATTAAGCATCGTTGGAGGCGATTGAACGCATATCTGGCCTTTGCAATGACTCGCAGTGGCCTACCGATGTATCGAGCCGGTGCTGCTTTCTTCCCAGACAAGTCTGGTACCAATTTGCCGGCCACAGGGGGATGGAGGGGTTCGTGGGCCACGGGCGTGGGTTTCAATCCCATGTGTTTTCACGGCATTTCATGTTTTCATGTTTCATTTCATGGCGCCTCCGACCACTGCGCCGCACGATACGCGCACCTTCGATAGGTAATAAAAATACGAAATTACTGATGAAGTAGTAGCGCGTTACGTGAACTGTTACGAAATGAGTAGAATTTGAAAAAATGTAACATTTTCTCCGTCGTCACATCTACTGCGCTTATTATATAGTTCGATTACTCGGGCTATTTTGGCGGAAGCCTTTCATCCTTCTAACTTTTCTTTTATTAAAGCCATTCTCTAATGCCTCCAGCGTGTCTTGTTTTTTAAACCTTCGTCTTTAAAGTAATATTCCTACCTCTCGTTAGTTTATATTAGGTTACACAGCGAAAGAGTCGATTTCATTTGTAAACAGACCCTTGACACATCACTTAGCAGCAGCTCCAGTACTGTTGACAAAGTTGCAGAAGTTAGCAGATGGAGATAATCACTTTTAAAAAGTCAGCGGAAAAACAAGGTGAACAGCTTTTGCTCGAAATGATATCAAAAAAAGTCGTTCAGGATGACTCTGGATGTGATGTTATTAATGTCGGCGCTTCTGGTATGGATTTGTTAAGCAAACGTTTTAGAGCGCTTAAAATTGCTAGGGAAAATTAACGAAAGCTCATCACAGTGATACACACAGGCTGAGGCGATTTCATGTTGTCCATGTAACCCTCGAAGGGAATTCTACGCCCACTGCTTGCTCGAAGTACGATGAACAATGATAGTTGGGTCCGCCCCTCCACGACAATAGAAAATGCTGCGTACAATGGCTATCAGCTAACAAAACAGAGTGGTACAATATGTTAGGTGTTATTAGTATGCACTACAAAGAAGATAACGATTTCTTTTTGCCACTTACTAGTTATTTTTGCACAACTACCTTCCATCTTAATTGTTCCTAACACCTGTCCTATTGTGGCTCCAGCTGGCCGAAATAATGTTCTCAGAGTGAAAAATTGTTATTCTTTTACTTCGTAGGTTTAAAAGATAGACATATTGTCGAGGAAGTAAGTCTATGTGTAGTCAAAGCATAGACCAGGAAAGCGCTTCCGAGTGGAAAATAAACAGAATTTGAAGCGTTTTGAAGCCCTTCGGTAATTGAGGATGGTCATCTGAAGGCGACTATCGCAGCTCACTAAAGACTTAAGCTACTTGTTGAGAGGATGCTTAAGAATCGAACTGCGTGTGGAATTTCAATCCAGGAATTCTCATCATTTCCAAAACATCTGTTGGTAATAATTGATGAAATAACCTTCCTGTTGGCAAAAAAGCGTAGGTTCTAAAGGTTCCTCTTTTAGCTGATAAATTCATGTTCATGTCTAGTTATACTGTGTGAAAATCGCTGTTGAAAACCAGTCGTTTCACATCAAATGGTCTGTTTTGGGAAGAAAATCTGCATAATTTTTTTCTCTCCTTTTTTCAAGTCAACTAAGTGAATTAAAACGTTGCTTCCATTTGGAGGTATGATGGCTATTCGTGAATATATATGTGTTTAGTTTGCTGATTGCTGTGGCAAAGATCGATAGAAATAGCTGAGAGACAGGCGAAACAAAGGACCCGCATGGTGTGGTGGTGAACGCGCTACTCCCCGGAAAGGACAATAGCGCGTTCGTTCCCCACCACACCTGCGGTCCAGAGTTTTGCAAATATCTCAGCAACGTTGTGGTTGTATTTCGCTTAGTACCCTGTCGTGAAATAATAGTAGGCAGAAAATAAAAAGGTATAACATATGTGTTTAGTGTTGTCTACAGAATGGTGTTGCGGATACTGTAGCCGGAGACAAGTGCCTGGCTCTTTGCGACCAGCGACCGAACAGGTGAGCATCAGCTTTGGTATTGTTCACTTGAACACTAAACTAAATTGTTTACGACTAGGTGAACGCCATCTTTTGGTTTATTCTTACAGGAGCGTTTTAAGTAAACATTAGGTCGAGCGCTGACTAGGCGCAAATAGAAATCAAACAGCAAAATTTTCGTGTTCACAGTGAAACCGCTATGGCTTAGGTTTACGTCACTCGACGTCTCCTATCTTCCCTGTTATGGCATCTTTGAAAACATGAAACGTTGTTTCTTTATTGAAATTCGGTAAGACACATTCACTTCGACGATAGTAAAGAGTGAATCTCAAAATATTTGTTACAGAAAGAAGGCTGAGAAGAAATTTGGCAACGACAACCAGTCGCCGTGGCTCCAACGAACCAACATCTTCAAGAAATCCTAAATCTAACTTGCTTTCTCATCTATAAGCTAATGATCAGTCGCTTAATATCAAATCCCATGCGTTATTTATGGTGACCGAGGTTTAGTTCTGTTCTGAATAATCACACGTTCGAGACAATTTTTTGATAAAATCTGTTCGATACCCGAATATTTGACTCGTTCACCTATGCTTTCTAACCATAGTGTGTTTTGGCTCGAAATTTTTGCAACCATCGAGTGTATTAGAATCGAGTAGGCAGAAATGAAAAGAAGAAGACGAAGGCTTTAAAACTGTTGCTTATCCGAATATTCAAAGCAGATGAGATTGTGATGGAGGGCACACTTCTAACACATCCACAGAGACAAGTTCTTGGCGAAATGCGTCGTGGAATCGTGTGCAAGAACAAGTTCAAGTGGTGGTCGTTTTGGTATTTGGTTCAGGAGATTGGAGGGAGGAACAATCCCATAAGCCTCAACGTCGAAGCTCTTCACATCCATGTGGGTTTTTGTCGTCAGCGCTCTCGTCGCTCACGTGCTCACGGTAAGTGCCATCGTTCTTCTTCTGCACACAGAGCGCACTGCAATCTCATCTTTATTCACTTCGACAAACTGTTATACGTTTCTCTTCTGTTCCATTATGTGTATATTCACTGTTTACTAGTGTGGGCTCAATATTTTTATGCTTCATTGTTGGCTGCACTTTTTTTTTGTGAGGTGCTAGAAAAATTCTAGTGACATAAAAGTATAACATAGAAAACATAAGCATCACTGCGCCAGTGGTCGATCAACGCTTTATATTGAAACGTGAGTGAAACACGTAGCAAAAATGCAATAAGGAATAGTGACAGATGGCCACGATTCTCAGAAGGAGCTTATTAACGCACCCCACCTTAGCAGACAGGATCTAAGAGTCTTTAAATAAAGGATAAAGCTCTCGCCCTTGATCAATGCCTGAGCGATGCGCTATGCACTCGACTTCATTCATTTCACTTCATTAAGCATCGTTTGAAGGTGATTGAATGCATATCTGGCCTTAATGACTCGCTGTGGCCTACCGATATATCGAGGCAGTACTGCTGTCCTCTACCCAGGAGCGATGGAAGGCTTGGTGGCCCACGCCCGCGGTAATCGATTCCATGTGTATCGCAGGGCGCTTCCGACCACCGCAGCACAGGGCCCTTAAGGTCCTTACCAGTGGTAAAGATGAAAGCGATTGAGCGTTCGGCATTGATCGATTCCTGAGAGACGCGCCATGCACTCGATTTCACCATGTGTTGCGAAGACGATTGCGAGCATTCCTGGTCTATACTTGTTGTCACCTACCGCTTTATCAAGTCAATAATGTTGCTATCTTCACATACAAGTATGGCATGTATTTGCTCTACTACCGAGAGATGAAAGGCTTGTTGAGCCTTAGACGCTTGATCGAATTAGTGATCGATCTACTGCGTGTTGCACCTTTAACCACACGTACCCTCATTACTAACAGTATGATAGATATTGTTTGAAGTTGCAATGCCGTACTGTTTCGCATCGACAAAATGCTCTTATGGTTCTGACTTTTACTAGTGGTTCATTCTCCAACAGTGAATACTTATGTTGGGAAGACCTCAAAAGTGGACAACAAGGCCTGTCTCGCAAATATGACTTGTTGAAATCTTTTCAAAGTCACCGATAAAGCCGATTGCCGAGGATATTAGGGAAATCCGAAGACAATTTATTCATTGGCTATGGTAGTGGTTTCGGATATGCATTCAAGAGTCTCTACCGTAGTGGTCGACTGCAAGATGATATCTCTTCGATTCGAAACACGACGCTTTTTAAGCGAAAAGTGTTCATCAAGTTTGCAATATATGTTTTGAGTACGACAAGTGGACGAAATCCGTATCTAAATTACACGCTTATGAAGATAGACGACTCTGAAGAAAACCACAAAACATCTTTTGGTTCTGCACCGCGAACTCTTTCCTTGGAAGAGTAGCGCTATAGCCACTCCGCTCAGGAACGGAAGAACTACGCATTTGAATTAACCCCTGAGCAGCTAATACATGGAGATAAGCTCATTCATAGAGTTGATTGAGTCTCTTCGGTCGGACGCTCAATCGTCAAGAAGTCACTCTTTGGCGCAAAGTCATACTAAAATTCTCTTCAAACAAAGATTTAATGTGAAATGATTTCGTCATTGTGAACCGAATAAATAAGCTGTATACTGTATTGGCGAAACGTGCTATCTGATTATATCAATGACAATTAGAATGAACACACAGAATGGGAAACTGCTTGAGGTTATTCACAACAGCATTACAACTGGAGGCGTACTCAATGAATAGTGTTAGTACTCGCATAATTTTACAAAGCGACTTTCAACGATTCCAGTGAAGATTATGAGTATTGCAGAAAATTGAAAATGGTAGTATAAATGTAGTCACAGCTTCCTAAGGACAATTCGCTGTGCTAGCAGATCTACCCAACGAAAACCAACGAGCCATCAGATCTGTCGACCGTAAACTGCATTGACCCTTGTACAGCATTTGCATAGTTCTCTCTCCAACACTATTTCTAAGTCATACGGAGTTTTAGAGGAAGCACGTCGAACTCAGTATTTCGATGAATTTTACGTTTCTGCGATCCAATGGTGCATAATGCTAACTGTAGTAACTGTAAAGCAAAGTGCGATAGATGGCTCTAGGAGATCCAAATTTATTCTGAAGATTATAAAGGTTTTTAGTTGAGAGGAAGACGAAACGAAAGGCTCACACAGTGTTTTGCTGAACAAGTTAGATTCCGGAAAGGGTAGTGGCGGGTTCGATCCTCACCGTAGACACTTGCGTTCCCGAGTTTTACAGATATTCCAGCGTCATTGGGGTTTCATAAAACGTCCTCTTAGGAAATCTGCAGGAAGATGGTGGTATTTTTGTCTGCATGACTTGACCCTTTCTCTGGCTTTCTATTCTGGTGTCAATGTCTACGTGTACTATTTACGGTACTGCTAACATTGACATAAAATGTTGTTAATATTCCATCCTGTTTTGATGTTTAAATGAGTCCGTATGGAGTTAGGAAAAACTTCTAAAGAGTGGCTTTTCCAAAAATCTTCTGAAAGTATCGTAAACTGATATGTTTTTAAATATTTCGCAAAAGAAAGGACGTGATCTGTAGAATGATTTCTGGAAAAAGTTACAGTACATCATCTATTACCAGAAGTCAGACTCATATGTGAAGGGAAGATCCTGCCTTCTCAGTTAATAAGTTTTTTTTTATTTTAGTGCTTGCCCGATTTGCTCGACCTGCCACCAATAATTGTTCATACTGAATGTCTTGAAAAAGAGTAGGTTTTTATTTGTTGGAATTCTAGATGTATAAGGGGGTTCCTTTGAGGGACGCTCCTACATTCACTGAGCATCTAAGAAATTT